AGACATAGAAGAAACTTAAAAAGACATCACTAAATGAAAGAAGCCAGTCTGAAAAGGCTACAAACTGTATGATTCCAACCAAATGACACTCTGGAAAAGGCAAAGCCACAAAACAATAAAAAGATTGTTGTTTCCAGGGGCTTGGGAGAGGGAGGGAGGAAGGAATGAATAGATGGGGCACAAGGGATTTTTAGGGCAATGAAATTATTCTGTAGGATACTATAGTGGTGGCTACATTCATTATGCATTTGTCAAAACCCATAGAATGTACAACATTAAGAGTAAACCCTAATGTAAACTATGGACTTTGGATGATAATAATGTGTCCATGTTGGTTCATCTATTGTACCAAATATGCCACACTGATGAGGGATGTTGAGGGTAGGGGAGTATAAATAAGTGGGTGGGGAGGGCTATGTGTAAACTCTATTTTCTGCTGAGTTCTGCTGTGAACCTGAAACTGCTCTTAAAAAAATAGTCTATTAACAACAACAACAAAAAGAAAGAGGCAATCTGAATAGTCCTATATCTATTATAGAAATTGAATAATAATTAATAACCTCCCAAAGCAGAAAGCACCAGGTTCAGATGGGTATACTCATAAATTCTATCAAACATTTGAGGAAGAAACTATAACAATTTTCTACAATATATTTCAGAATATAGAAGTAGAGAGGACACTTCCTAGCTCATTCTACGAGGCCAGCATTACCCTAATACCAAAAAAGACAAGGACACCACAAGAAAAGAAAACTACAGATCCGTATCTCTCATGAACATAGATGCAAAAATCCTCAACAAAATATTAGCAAATTGAATCCAACAATGTATGAAAAGAATTATATAGCATGACTAAGAGGGATTTATTCCAGATATGCAAAGCTGGTTCAATATTCAAAAATCAATTAATGTAATCCATCACATCAACAGGTTAAAGAAGAAAAATCACATGATCATATTCATTTTTTCAATAGATACAGAAAAAGCATTTGACAAAACCCATCACCCATTCATAATGAAAACTCTCAGTAAAATATGAATACAGGGGAGCTTCTTCAGCTTGATAGCTATAAAAACCTATACCTGACATCATGCTTCATGGTGACAAACTTGAAGCTTTCCCACAAGAACGGTAACAAGGTAAGGATATTTCCACTCACCACTGCTTTTCAATATCATACTGGAAGTCCTAGCTAATGCAATAAGACAAGAAAAGAAAATTAAAAGTATAAAGATAAGGAAAGAAGAAATAAAATTATCTTTGTTCGCTGATGACATGATCAAAACTCCTGAAACTGTGCTTGCTTTGGCAGCACATATACTATGAATACGAAATGAATACAAAAACAAATATATGTATGTATATGCATGACTGGGATATTGTGCTGTACATCAGAAATTGACACGTTGTAACTGACTGTACTTCAATCAAACAAAAAACAAAAAAACTCCTGGACCTAATAAGCAATTATAGCAGGGCTGCAGGATACAAACTTAATACAAAAAGTCAGTAGATCACTTTCCCACATATCAATAATGAACAAGTGAAATTTGAAATACTATTCATATTAGCAGACCCAAAATAAAATACTTAGGCATAAATCTAACAAAATATGTATGAGATCCATATGAGGAAAACTACAAAATTCTGATGAGAGAAATCAAAAAACTAAACAAATGGAGAGATAGTTCATGTTTGTGGATAGGAAAACTCAATGTTTTCAAGGTGTCAGTTCTTCCCAACTTAATATATAGATTGAAGTAATCCCAATCAAAATCCCAACAAGTTATTTTGTAGATATGAACAAACTGATTATAAAATTTATACGGAGAGGCAAAAGATCTGGAATATTGAAGACAAACAAAGCTGTAGGACTGATACTACCCAATATCAAGACTTACTATAAAGCTACAATAATCAGTGTGGTATTAGCAAAAGAATAGACAAATAGATCAGTGGAACAGAACGGAGAACCCAGAAATAGATCCATATAAATACTGTCAACTAATCTTTGACAAAGGAACAAAGCAAAAGATAATCTTTTTAGCAAACATCACTGGAACTGGGCATCCACAGGCAAAAATATATATATATACGCAGACATTACATCCTTCACAAAAATTAACTCAAAATGGATCACTGACCTGAATGTGAAACACAAAGCTATAAAACTGCTAGAAGATAACATAGGAGAAAATTTAGATGACTTTGGGTTTGGTGATGACTTTTTACAAGCAACACCAGAGGCATGCAGAGAGGCATGATCCATGAAAGAAATAATAAACAGGCCTTTATTAAAATTAAAAATTTCTGCTGTGCAAAAGACACTGTCAAGAGAATAAAGACAAGCCACAGACTGGGACAAAATATCTCCAGAAAAGTCAGACAAAGGTCTGTCACCAATAAGAAAACAACCCAATTTTAAAAAGGTCCAATGACCTTAATAGATACTTCACCCAAGAAGATATACAGATGGCATGTAAGCATAGGAAAAGATGCTCCACATCATATGCCATCAGGGAACCGAAAATGAAAACAAAAATGAAATACCATCACCTGCCTACTAGAATGGTCAAAATCCAAAATACTGACACCACCAAATTCTCACGAGAATATGAGGCAATGGAAAGTCATTCACAGCTGGTAAGAATGCAAAATGGAACAGCCACTTTGGAAGACACTTTGACAATTTCCTATGTAACTAGACACACTCTAACCATATGATCCAGCCACTGCATTCCTTGGTATTTATGCAAATAAACTAAAAACTTATGTTCACACAAAAGCTTGCATGTGGATGTTTATAGCAACTTTATTCATTATTGCCAAACCTGAATGAAACCAAGATGTCCTTCTGTAGGTGAAAGGATAAGTAAACTTGATACATACAGACAATAGAATATTATTCAGTGCTAAAAAGAAATGAGCTGTCAAGCCGTGAAAAGACATGGAGGAACTATAAATGCATATTACTAAGTGAAAGAATCCAATTTGAAAAGGCTACATAATGTATGATTCCAATTATATGACATTCTGGAAAAGGCAAACTTATGGAAACAGTAAAAATATCAGAGAGTGCCAAGGGGAAGGAGTAAAGATAGGATGATAGCAGGTGGAGCACAGAGGATGTTTAGGGCAATTAAACAACTCTGTATGACTCTATAGCAGTGAATACATGACATTACACATTTGTTAAAACCCACAGAATGTACAACACCAAGAGTGAACCCTAAGATAAACTATGGACTCTGGGTGATAATGATGTGCCAGTGTAGGCTCACCAGTTGTAACAAATGTCTTACTCAAAAGAAGGATGTTGAATTTGGGGGAGGCTAGGTAGGTGTAGGGGTAGGGAGTATCTGGATACTCTGTACTTTCTGCTCAATTTTGCTATGAATCTAAAACTGCTCTTTTTTTTAAAAACTGTCTTTTAAAAAAGCAATGGCTTTACAAAAATTTTTAATGAAATAAGTAAAATAACAGAAATTAAAAAATTTTTTAAAGACAGAAAATTTCCCAAAACTTAGTGACATGTTTGTTTGAAAGAGTCCATTGTGTATCTGGCATTGTAGATGAAAACAAAAATACACCAAGGAACACCATTATAAAATTTGAAGCATGGGAACCCAAGAAAATTTGCTACAAATTTGCAGAGATAGAGTTAGAAAAGATCTGGAGTCAAAATTCTTTTGGACTTCTGAACAGCAATAATGAAAGATTAGAGGCAATCACACAGTAGTCCAAATTCTGAAGAGAAATTATTTCCTGCCTAAAATTCTGTGTTTATATAAATGTGTTTCCCCGGAGAAAGAGGAAGACCTGGGATGCAAGAAACAGGAGAGCCACCCAGGAGAGAGGCAAAGGGAATTCCCGGGGCAGGATGACAGGAGACCTAAGCATGACAGCTGTATTGAAGCTGTCAGAAGGTAGCTGTCCATGTCAGAGCAGGTCAGCAGGCACTATGGGAGACTTTCTTGGGAAGACAAAATTGTCAGAACAACTGATTTACCCAAATCTGTTGAAAGATGATTTATATAAGTGGCTGAGAATTTAGGGTTAAATCACTGAGAGGAATATAGAAAACTAAGCAAATGGGAAAACAAGACAATTATTAACTCCAGAGGAAACAAAGTTTTGAGGGAAAATTAATCTTAGTTAACCACTTGTTTCAGCTAAGAATATAATAGCATAATTATGTAAACAGTAAATAAGGCTTTTGACTGACCCAAATGATGATTTGTGCATATTGGTAGGATGAGAAAAAAGGAAAGATGCAAGTGTAAGAAAGACAGCAAGGAGGAGAAAGGATTAAATTTTCATCATAGACCACAGATAAGGCCTGTGTCTGAAAATCAAGAAATCTAGAAACATGGAGAAGTTAAATACCAAAAAGAAACAGTTAAGGTCATGATTCCTCCTGGGAAGAGGCCAAGGAAGTAGGGATGAGGAGCTGCTTTTCAACAACTGAAGGCTCTCAGATTTTATCCCACTTGCATGCTAATGAGTTTGGGGGAGGCTGGCAGAAGATGCAAGACTCCCGGATCAGAGACAAAGAACAGTTTGTTAGACACAGCACTAGTGTGGAAGTATTACCTTTTATCTGGTTCCTTGAACCCCATTTCTCACAGAGTGATGCGAAGAGAGCCAGATGACACCTGTACATGCAGTGGCTGCATTACAGGAGAGGAAGCCTGAGTTTAGGGAACGGTTATTATGCTAATAATGGACAGTTAAGTCTGCCCGCCTTTTGCTTAGAGGAAGATGCTATCTCTGCCAAGGTTGTTTGCTATGCAGACATTCCTAAAAAGATTGGAGTGAACAAAGTAGGCCAGTCAGTGCCTCACTCACAAGACGTGCTGACCAACAGAAGTGACTTAAAACTGCTGTTTTTCATAATCAACCTCAAATTATTTGATTTTTAAAAATTACATGCACGTATAACTTTCATAAAATGAAAATTTAGCAAATCAGATACTTTACGTTATTTAAACAACTCGCCTAACCCTTACTCCTACTGACTGGGCATCTCCTTTCCAACGGACAGCCAAAGTCGGGGGGAGAAAATTGGAAAGGAAGTTTTCCGAAACTTCGCGCAGGGCGGGCTGGTAGCAAGGAAGAGTGGCCCCAACCCCAGCGGTCCGATTCGTGGCGAGGGCAAGGTGACTCCCCCTCCTCTAGCCCTGGCCTCGAATCCCTGGCAGGCTCCTCGGAGGCGCTGAGCGCAGGGTTCCGCACCTTAAGACCAGGACGTGAGGGCAGGGACCAACGCCGCCGCCGCTGGTTGAGAGTTGCAAGCCACGTGCGTCAAGTGCCCGGTGCAGCCCTTTTCTAGCCTGTGTTGACTGCAGTATTCCGGGATGTGAACCGAGGCCCCCTGAAAAGAAGAAACTAGCTAACATAGCCCGCGGGGGCTCCTCCGGGGGTGAGGACACGACGCAGCCCCTACGGCGCAGGAGGAGGGGTGGACAGCTTGGCCGCATCCCCCGCAGGATCGTGCACCCATCCCCTTGCTGTTGCGCACAGGCACACCGCGGCCCTGCCTGGCGCTTGGACAGCATTCGACCCGCGCGGACTAGAGCAGGGGGCTGCGGCAGGCGCTCCACAGCTCGGCGGAGCGGAGAAGCGGGTCTGAACTCTCACCCCTCCCTCAGGCACCAGCCAACGCATGCTGCCGCCGAGGGGGACGGGCTGCGCAGATCCCGTTTATCAGCCACATCTCCCATTACATAATGCGGCGCTGTATCTCTCCCGGGCATCGCTGCGAAAGCGAGCCCTCTCCCACGCGCGGGGCGCCTGCCCACCGCTCCCAGCAGGGTGTTGCCAGTTCTAGAGAGGGGGCCGTTCCACTCATCTTGGCGCAGCCCTCGGTGATTCCCCACTCCTTCCCCCAACACAGAGAACCCACAGGAGATGCTACTGACTATTCAACGGATGAAGAAACAGGCCCATGTATGGGTCACACAAGCAGGTGGCAGCACTCCAGACACTGGGGAGCCACAAGGGGCAGAGCCTGGCTTTCAGCCCTCACGGTCTGAAATTACGCTGGGAAGCTTGGGACTGGGAGAGAAGAGAGGATGGGAATCCTGCTACAGGTGACAGAAGAGGGTGAGCAAGGCCAAGAGGCTTCTGAGCAGGAACGACAGCTCCAGCGTCCCTTGGAAGACCGTTGTGAGGAGGCTGAGCCCCAGTGAAGTAGGACAGAGGAAGCCTGAGCAGGCAGAGAGAGGGGGTCTTAGGGAAGGCTCTGGCTTGGGGAGAAAGTGGGCGAGGGAGGGAGCTTGACATCAGCATCCAATAGGCATATGCTGCAGCCTCTGTTGCGCGGGTTTCTGGAGGACTTCTTGAGAAATGAGGAAAAGCAGGGAAACGGCTACATGCCAGTCCGTGCAGGGGGTGGGCTGCCCACAGGGGACTCTGGAGTCGGAGCAGGCCCAGGAGTTGCCCTCCACAGCCTTCGATCTCCAAACTTGAAGCCATCAGAGGGCAGAGGTTGGTCTCACAGGTACTGGTGTACAGAAGTGGTCACGCCAGGTCTCAGTGGCAGTAAAAACAGTTACTCTCCAGGGCTAAGGCTGGATCTGCCTCTTGCCAGCCTGGCCCACTGAGGGAATCCCAGCAGGATAGGCCTGCTCTGAAGGCCTGGGTGGGGCATCCAGTGACCAGGCTGCCCACGCTCAAAATTATCATCAAAGCAACTTTTCAAAGGAAAGGTCCCAGGAGGATCCTTGAATCTGACTGAAGCTTTCAACGGGGAGAGCTGGGAATCTGAACTACAATCCTCCCCACCATGGGGCTAACAGGGAATCAGGTGGGCCAAGAGAAGTGAACTTTGCTTTTCTCCTTTTATCCTGTTTGAATTTTGTATCTAAAGCAACCATTGCTTTGGTAATGTAAGAGACCAGTTCACTGAAAAAAAAAGAAAATAATAATAAAACCCCTGGATTCCCACATCTGATAGACTGTGGTCATAGCACTGTCTGCCCAGCATTTCTGGTGACCCAGAAGGGTCTCATGTCAGGAGCTGGGTGGGCACTCAGGGTGGAGACCAAGCAAAAGCGCTAGAGTTCCAGCTGGCACGGCTGACACCAGTGTGCCCTAAGGGCCCTCTCACCTACTCCTGAAGTGAGCTCATCCAGATCTTGGAAACTGCCCCAGACCCCTCAGTAATAAGTCCACAAGAAATCAGATGCTTTCCTTTATGTGATGCTGGATTTTCCACAAAGTAAAATCAAGATGAGTAAAGATGTGGTTTCTAGATAGTGCCCGACAAAGCAGAGACCACGGTATGAGGCGTCACCACTTGGGCCTATAAAAGCTGCCACAAGAGGCCAAGGCCACAAGCTGCTCAGCTCAAGCCAGCCTACACGTCTGCTCCTCGCTCCTCGTGTACTGGCTCCAGGCTCCATGGCGCTCTGGATGACCGTGGTCATTGCTTTCACCTGCATTGGCGGCCTCGCCTCCCCGGTCCCTACGCCTTCCCCTAAAGCCCTCAAGGAGCTGATTGAAGAACTGGTCAACATTACCCAGAACCAGAAGGTGAGTGCCTGCTGACCAGGATCCCAGCTCTGAGGATGCAAGGCTGCACCACTCTCAGGAAGGGTACTGGTCATGGTCTGGGCCAGGAAGGTTGGGCCTGATCTTAATAAGATGCCTGTGAGTCAGGAAGAAGCCCCATGGACTAGAGGACAGGCCTGGCCATGAGGGAGAGGAGACAGGCTCAGGGGTGCAGCAGTACAGATGGATGCACGCAGAGACTGGGCAGAGCCTCTAGGGACCATCTGCTCCCCTGGCCTGGCCTGGCCAGCTCCCACACAGCCGCTCTGAACAGAAGAAAGCAGAGAAGGGCTGGCACCCTCCTGGAACTATTTGGCATTTGCTAACTGGATTTGAATGCAATTATGAGGCCGTTATTCACAGCATCTTAGTTATGCCCATCCTTACAAAAGGATTCATTAGTAGAGTCAGCTCCTCTCCCCAGTGATGATGGCTCACACTTTTGCGCACTGATAATGTACCAAGCCCATTGCTGGGACTTTACATCTCATTTCATCACTGCTAACCACCTTAAGAGGAAGATATGATATCCCAGTTTTACTGACTAAGCTTCAGTGAGGTTAACTGACAAAAGTCAGATTCAAGCCAGTACCATTACTGGCTGACACCAGAGTGCCCATACTCCGAATTGCAGTGGACCCCAGTTCAGAAAGCAGGATGTTTGATATACTAGACCCTCACTGCCTCCCATCTGATTGACCTGGCCACCTCCTCCCTCACCTAACACTGCCCTGGCCCCTCCCTGTAGGCCCCCTATTGATGTCCTGGTGTCATTGTCATAGGTCCTCTAGCCTCTGCTGTGGCAAGCTTCACACAAGGCTTGTCCCTTACTGGCTGCGCCACTCAGTTTTTCTCTGTCAGCTTCAAGACTCTGTACAATGGGTCTCTCCCAATGTGCAGAGCAGGAAATGAAGCTCAAGAACATTGGAGGTCCCAGGCCTACCTCTGCTTGTGGGGCCTGATCCCTGTGGAGATCTGGCCTCGCTGGGCAGGCCTGGGATCCTGCCAGCACTCGGCTCACTGTTCTTTGCTCCCTCAGGCACCCCTGTGCAACGGCAGCATGGTATGGAGCATCAACCTGACGACCAGCATGGTGAGGACCCTGGATGCTGGCGGGGAGGTGGCTGAGGCCGTAATCCTTGGCTTGTCTTCCCTGAGCATGGCTCACACGGCTTAAGCATGGGTTCTAAGCAAGCTTCAAGAACCACTCTCTGCTCCTTCATAATCTGGGCTCCTTCCACCACCCAGACGCACCTCCACCACGCCCCTTAGCCCTGCTCCTCCCGCAAACTCGCTATAGGTGCCACCTGACTCCCCAGTGTTCTCCTCTCCGCAGTACTGTGCAGCCCGGGAATCCCTGATCAACATCACCAACTGCAGTGTCATCCAGAGGACCCAGAGGATGCTGAATGCCCTCTGTCCTCACAAGCTCTCAGCCAAGGTAAAACCCCCCAGTCCCAACCCTGCACACACTTCTGTCAGCCCTGGGCTCACACTGGGAGCTTCATGGGAACCCAGCTGAGCATCTGAGGCATGTGTCCACCCAGGGGTAAGCGCACTGTGGAAGCAGGGACATGTCTTTGGGATTTCCAAGACTCCTCCCTGAGCTTCAGTTCCACATCTATAAAATGTGCATAACAACAGCACCCACCTCATGGAGGCTTTTATGAGGACTGAACCAGCGGCCCCAGGAAAGCCCCTGGCGGATGCTGGCCGTCCTGGCTCTCACGTCCCCACCAACGCACCGGTCTCTCTGTCCTGCTGCAGGTTTCCAGCGAACACGTCCGAGACACCAAAATCGAAGTGACCCAGTTCATAAAAACCCTGCTCCAACACTCAAGGAACATTTTTCACTACAGAAGTTTCAACTGGAGCAAGAAAAGTTAGCATTATTATTTGCAGAGAGGGACCCTGACCATTTAAATTGCAGATTCATTTTTCTTTCAGATGTCAGAAATTTCTTGCGAAGACTGGAGGAGGGTTGGGGGGGTAAGATTTCCTTAGCTTAGACTTCAGCCTGTGCTGTCTGCCTTGAGCCTAGCCGACCCCAGCTACCCCTTGCCTTGGTGCCTGGGGCTCAGCCTGGAAAGCCTCTTGCATCCAGGGCTCCGAGCTCAGTGGACAAGGGTGGATGTTGTCCCACACAACTTCCCCATCCTTAGTGCAAACTGTAGCATTTCAGTGGGTGCAACCCTGGCTGGACACACGGTGAAAGAGGGACCTGCTTTACACAGGGGCAACTAAGGCAGAGAGCAGCCTAGGCACATTTCTTCTTGGTCTTATTTATTATTATGTGTTATTTAAACAAGTGTTTTTGTCTGTACTGGGGATAGGAAGGGACTGTTACTGCCAAAACTTGGAGCCAAGGGCCTGGAGACTTGAGGCTCCAGCACTAACGCAGTGGGCATTAGGAAGCCCTGGGAATAAGTACTGTACACAAACTTCTGCTACCTCACTGGGGTCCTGGGGCCAAGGCAGGGACAGTAGACAGGGCCACTCTTGTCTGCCAGCCAGCAGTTGGCCTTCAACCAAGTAATTTATTGTTTTTCCTTGTATTTAAAGTATTAAAATATGTTATCAAAGAGTTAATAATATATAGAATAGCAGCCTAGAACACTGCATATGGTATGTGGGGATTGGGGGAGGGGTCATTGAATTAGTTGTTGCATTGACTTTGTCAAGTTGGAAGCTGGAAATAAAGATGGTTACAAGAGATCTGACGGTTTTTGCCTTTTATTTTGACCTTTGGGGATGTTGGCCTGTGTTCTTAAGACTCTGAGGAGCTTTTCTTTAAGACCAGTTGGAGGAGGGGGCCTAGGGTGGAATGGATGGGGAGTGAGGGACAAGACTTGGGCTGAAAGAAAGTAGGCAAGCCCCTGGGGAGAGGAGACCTGGCCAGGAGGAAGTCCCTCAACGACCACCCACAGGGCCAGGGTGTCAGGGTTCAAGGAAGGCATCTGGAGCAGGCAGAGATCATGGAAGTCGCTCATGGCTACAGATCTTCATGAGTGGCCAGCCTGTGTCTGGCTCCACCCACACACCCTCTGGTGTCTCCCTCAGACCCTCTCTGAGGCTCGGGGAAGCGAAAGTGGCTTGCCCAAGGTCCCATAGCTGCTAAGAAGCAAAGTCAGGATTTGAAGCCCGAACTCAATCCAACTCCAAAGCCCACACACTTAACCACCCTGCGTACCTCTGTCCAAACATCATCTGGCCTGAATGCACAACCTGTATAATTGTGTCCTCAGCAGGTGTGGGCACCTCCCCTGAGGGGGAGCTCACTACTTAACTCTTTAGGGACAGCCTGTTCTACGTCTGGACACCTCTCAGCACTAGTGAGTGCACACTCACCACCTCTGAACAAAGACACACCAATGACTTGCAGCCCCTGGACTGTGGAGTGACTGGGGTGGACCGCTAAGGTTGTAGGGTCCTGGTCAGACTGCTCCTCCAAGCAAGTCTTTTTGCTTCTCCCTTGGCCCAGGCCAGCACATGGAGCACAGGAAGCAGCAGGCCTCAGCAAGCCACAGCCCCTGGGCCTGCTATCAGCCGCCGTTTACACTGTGAATCTTTGGAAGGACAGGATGCCTCTTGCAGTGAGTGGGTGGTGGGTCACCAGAGATCAGTCTTAAATGCTGAGTGGCAGGCAGGCGCCCTCCCTGGGGAGCCCAGAGCCCTGTGAGAACACCT